GGGTCGACACATCTATGGAAAGCAAAATGCCCCCCGTCGATAAACTGCGCCCTGGTGCAACATAAGGTGGCTCTATGTTGACATGGCCCTGGGTCGTAAGTATATGTTACGAGTTAATTCTGGAAACAAGTAGCAGTCATGAGGAGCAGTGGCTGGGCTGTACTGGTTGAGGGCGGGCCATCCAGCTCAAAGTTCGGCTTGACCTTTTTTTACAAAAGGCGGTCTGGTAGTGTCATAAGGGAAGCAGGCTATGCGGAAGAACTTTATCCTTTGATTGACGATTTGTTTTGAAACTCATCGTTGCTTTCCTTACTGACTGGCTGTGAAAGCAGCACTTCATAACTGAAAGCCTCGAATTCAGATGGACATCAAGTGTCCACCTCATTTTCAGGACTTGTCCACACGGGGAGACCTCTAGCGCAAGGAGTTCCAAGTCACCTCCCACGTTTAGTTGATAGGGAAAATCTTTCCCCTGTACAAGTAATACTAATGGTTCCGACAAATCGACCGTGCGCGCTACGTTCGTCATAAATCAAAAAGACACGACCTGTACAAGTTGCCTCAGCCATCGGAAGATGAACTAAGGCGTGGTTCCATCTACATCTATAATCACACTTGTTACGCTCTGCGTAGGACCGATTTTTGTCGTAGCGCTGCTCGTTTTGCAGCCTGTCTTCCTGTTCTCTCCATCTTCCTTTATCTCTAGTCTCTCGCCCGGGAAGCATTGTCTCTCTTCTTCTGATACTCGTCCAAACTTGGGGTCTTAGGCAGTACGTCGGTTTTGTCGACCATTTTTTTCACTAGTAAATCACCAACATCTATGAAGTCGTATTAGTTGTCCCAAGCCCATATGATCGAATGTGTTTTAAGCCCACGTTTTAACGTTACTGTACTCAAACCTCTAAAGTTTACACTGCGATATAGTCCCCTTCTGGGCCAGCCATTCAGTCAGCCCTAATTTAAAACGATTTGAGCGTTCGCACCCTTGAATGTTTGGGTGATTGCACTGACTCATTTCATTTAATCAGTTTAATAAGCAGCGTGCTGAGACTCATCGACCCATTGTGTCATGAGGAGGCATTAAGGTTGTCACTCAGGGCACCTTACCAGTTAAAGTGATTTCGTCACTTTAGCCAATCATTGCAACTTTAGTTGCACAACTAGCTGTCCTTCGGCGGCTTTGTTCATACCAATCTTATGAAAAAGCATTTCTTGCCGCCACATGATTCAATTTCGAGGCAATCTCCAGAAATTGACTTCGTTAGCACGTGTCTTATAAGCAGGCCTATCAATTTACCAGTGCAAGAATGCTGAGTTGTGGGCAAGATTCTTATCTCCGGGAGTCCTCACTCTCGCTCTTTGGGACAGAAGCTATTGAGCTGTGAGGGTTAGGGGCGGCTCTGGCTC